GTCCTTTTCAGTCGTCTGAACCATTGACTGAGCAAACTTGCAATGCGAGGTTTGAAACTCGGCTTGAACATCCTTGAAGAGACGTGAAGATCTATGAAGACCATTTGAAACCTTGAAGAATCAATTTTCTTTGAGAAACGCCAAACCCTAATTGTTGACTTACTGCCTAGGAAGAGAATCTATCTGATCAACTTCTGAGCCAAATTGAGTATTCGAGAAAACCTAGGATAGTATCTTGAATAAAAATGGGAGGGAAAATTTTGGGGTACAACAGACATCGTATGAAATCCACCCTTCCATCGCTAGTCATGTGAAAGGGCGTGAATGACGACCCTGTCCCTTACCAGAGCCCTCACTCAAAACAGCAGAAAGCAATACAGGGACGACCCTCTCCAACATATTGGGCGCCCGACCGTCGGATAAACCCTAGCTCACGCAAGGAAAGTATTTTCCTCGACAAATGATTTTGGACCTCACTCAGCGACGCATCAAAAACGCAGGAAGTTCAAAATAGAAGCCCAAGAAACGGTCTAAATTCGCCAGAAAATCCATCACAAACCGCTACTACCGGCCCTACCACCAGGGGTTACCAAACAACTCCATGGCCGAGCCAGTATTCCCAGGCAATGAAACCACTGAGAGTCGTCCAATCTAAAGCTAATTTACCCCTAACCACATGCATCTCTAGAATCGCAACCAAAAATCAAACCAAAAACAAGGAAAACTTTGGCAAAAATAGAAGAAAAATAAGTAACTTACCAGGTTAGTGAAGATTAACAACGGAACAGGTAGATATTACAGCGGTGAACAGAGGAAAGGGCAAGAGCTTCGACAGAGAACAATGATATCATGCAGAACCAGAAACGAGCAGAGAAAGAGCAAGCGAAAAGTGCAAGTAAAGCTTCCTCTCTCCCTTTTATAGACGGACTTCACTAGCGCGTGAGCGAGCACGTGCCTAAAGGAACCTAAGGATCGCCATCATTATGCCCTAGTCCCTAGACTTACCATCATTACACCTTTATGGAAGCACGTGGCTCAATGCAAGCCTGGCACATTATCCCTCAATCCAATCAACCATTCGGCTCCCCGCGCGCCGAACACAAAAAGACCACATTCGGGCTCCTCGACGTTGTTGTCCCGAACATATCCTAGAGCATCCTTGATTCTTCGCAGGCTGATTCTAAGTCATCACTCTTACACCTAGAATAGATGACTTGGGGGGCTCCTGTTCTGGATTAACCCAATGACTAGAATTGGACCAATCCACTTTTATCCTTTGTATGGCCTAAAAAGATTTGACCCACTAACTCGGATCTTCTGTCGAGTACACTTGATCAACCGCACCGTGGGAATATCATGGATCACGATGCCCTGATCGTGTGCCTGTCTGCATCAACGACCATTTCCAGGTTTGCTCACTACTCGTCGAGCAGGCGACCAGGAAGGCGCTCGAGACACGTTTACTCGTCATCTCACCATTGCTCGAAGCAACGACTTGTTACGGGCACAACTGTCCATTTTGACCAAGTCCTGACAATTACCTATTTTTGTGGACCCAAATATCTAGGCCTAAAAATAGGAACCAATGGCTACGCGTCGGAGGCATTATATAAACCCTCACACTTGTGAGGGCCAGGTATTGAATATTCATTCTAAAAACCCTAATCTCTTTCTTATATCTCTTTGTGCTCTTATTGACTTTAGCATCAGAGTGCCTTCCAGGTACACCCGTCTCCTCTCCTCAGATTTCCAACCTAGTAGACGTCATCATCCTTCGACCCACTTTCACATTTCGATCAACCGGTAAGATCAATAACTGATATTTATAATCCTGATATTTTAAATACAGGTTAATTGTGAAAAAAAACATGTATATAATATGTAAAAAAATAAAATAAATTAAAAAAAAAACAAGGCATTTATTCACAGTTATTATAAGAACTGTTGTTATACAAAGAGCGCAAAATATGAAAAACCACTGGGTTTCGAACCCCTGACCTTTCGCTTTATATCACAACGATTTTACACTTTGATCATTGTGATATATAGAGCGCTACCTAGTTTATCATAACGATCCTAAGATCGTGGTGAAAAATAACTTACATACAATGACATCTTATCTCACAACGATTGGTCATTCGTTGTTGTATCCCTTTTCTGACTGTTGTGGTATGGCTTTTCTGTAGTAGTCTGTATTCATTTCTACCGACGAACCAAATGAATAGTGGCTTGAGAAGTGTATGAACTTCTTCAAAATAAGGTTGTAATTTATTGGATTTAGGACTTCACACATAAGAGGGGATGAATTGTGTGGTTTGAAACAAATTGATTTTGAAAATTTCTGGCGAGTTAAATAAGAGTTTAAAAACACTTTCAAAGACTAAACAGCGAAAAGTAAATAGCAAAGTTAAGGGAAGAAGAAGAATACAAAGAATTATAGAGGTTCAGTCAAATCAAAAGGACATACTCCTCTCCCCAAGACTTGGTTTTGAGAGTTTCTAATAATATTTGAGAACTTTTAGTATGAAAGACTCACGAACCTCCTTATACAATGAAATAACAATTTACCTTTAACCAAATTGTACAAGATGATAGATATGGTCGTTTGTGTATTCTTCAATAAAATGCTGAGAGTGAAGCGACCAGTCTTCCTTTCTACGATGGGTTAAAATGGTCAGTCTTCTTTTCACGAACATGAACCTTATAGAACTTAGAGTTCAAGTTTCAAAATATATGAGCTAAATACCTTTGGTCGTAATAGGATAAACCAAACAACCTTTGAGATTTTGACCGGAATGATCTCTAACCTATGGATATTTTAATACTAGGCTAATCTCTAACATATATTGGTTTTGATCAGGCTAATCCAAGAACCAATGAAGATTTTAATAATGACTAATCTTCAACCAAAACCTAAGACTGATCACACAATCCTCAAACCTAAGCTTTTATCGAATTTGGTTTTGAACTACAGATAATCCATAATTAGACAGTATTAACCAAGGTGTGTATAAACTATTCCTTTGGTGAACTTTACAATTCTACCCTTTTCAAAATTACAAAAATATCCTCACTCACAAAGAAACTTTTCTCACAAAAGCATTTAGTTATAACATCTAGTGAGAGAAAGTGAAATAAAAATGTAGAGAATGAGTGTGAGAGATGGAAGTATCAAAATACGATTCTAGATGATTTGAAATGAAAAATGAAGTCTCTATTTATAAGTAAGAGGTGTGTCCAAAACAGAATTTGCATTTAACTCTTTTTACCGTTAACTAATCGATTAGACAAAAATGCTAATCAACTAGATATTAAAAAACAATCGATTATAAATTCTCAAAATGAAAGTTTAAGATATATAATTGTTGTATAGAATCAATGTACGTTCAAACTAACTTGAGCTTAAGTTTGTTCATTTTCAATTAATTGACTATTTGATCTAATCCATTAGATAAGTCAAATATGCACATGACTATTTTGATTGCTTCTGATTCATATAATACAATTTTCATATATTTTTTAAAATATTTTTTTATAAAGCTTTTAAAAAAGATTTTAGTGTAGATACTTATAACCTTATACTTTTAAAGAATAGATCTCGTTGAAGACATGTGTATGTATGACACATGTCCTATTCAATTCGAGAAATTACTAAAATCTAATGTGTGTAGGAAGTCTTAACTTAAGTTTAACTTAAAACAATGTGTGTAGGAAGTCTTAACTTAAGTTTAACTTAAAACAAAAATTATTAACGTATTTTATTTATTTTTCACTTAAACCCAATCCGAGACTACTATCCCTAGTTTAGTTGTCGTGTAGTTTTTTTTTGGGCGAAAACCCTCATTGTATCCAAAAAGAAAAAACTATCAGCATGATTATCTTTATACGTAGAAACTCTTTAAATTAATATGTAGTAAATTAATAAATTCTTTAAAATAGTAAATTTGTCTTTGTGCGGTCTCGACTTGGGATCAATATAAAAAATTGAGAAACTCGATAAAATAATAAGATGATAATTTTTCAAAAGATTCCTTTATAATTTTCAATCTCAAAAAAATCATAAATTAATAATTCATAAAAAATGAAAAAAAAAATATTACACTTTATTAAAATATGATTCAATAATTGTCTATTTTCCTTTAAAATTCAAATTTATTTAAAATTCATCTCTAATTTTTCTTATTGCATCCAATAATTCAAGTGTTTATTTTTATATTATATCATAAAGTTGTAAAAAATATTCGACGTCATAGATTAATTTACCTTTTTGTTTAATATCAATATAATTACTTAAAAAGTCTTTAAATTAATAATTATTAATTTATCAATAAATTAATAACTCTAAATTAATAAATTTCTTCGGTCCTAACATTATTAATTTAAAGAGTTTTTACCGGTACTTCACTAATAATATTGCGCTGCTTTCGTAGTTGACTTGCACATATGATTCCGTATAGTATTACCCACCCTATAAAGGCAAACGACAATATATTAGCATCCACCTATTGGATAAGTTTGAAAATTTTTGCTGCAACTTACATCTACAAATAAGACACACTTGAATATACAACAGTTCGGCCATGTGTCTACCGCTTGACCACCTCGCAATTTGCTCGTATTCTCTAAGAACTTAACGAACTGTATACAGATAAGAGGGGGGCGAATTATGAACAATTTATCAATAAATATCATCCTTCTCGATGGTGAAATATAAACTACGAAAATTTCGACAACAATTGTCGTACACAAAATTATAACTGCAATGTGTTTCATCGTCAACTGCACAAATTAAAACACGAAATTAGAAAATTTGATATAGTTACTTATTCTAAAGGATAAATGACATAAGAGAACTATTGTTAACAAACACACAAGAGCAACATCGAAATTCTAAAAATATTTATATCAGAAATAGTATAACTGCAGAGTCCAACTCAAATTTTCATCCATCAACCCTTCTATCGTCAACTGCACAAATCAAAACACGAGGTTAGAAAATTTTATATAATTCCAAAATAAATCGCATGATTCATTGTTAACTTGAACACACAAACAAAAAATCTAAAGATATTTATAGGAGAAACAGTAAAAGCTATAAATTCCAAAATCAAAGATGATCTTGTAACATAAAAGCCAATTTCTAGTAGTTCCAAATAACTATGGGACAACAAAGGGTGTTTAATATCAAAAACACGATCTTGAACTTGATTTGAGGTTGTTAAGGACATTACCAAATACGTCAAAATGTGTAAATTGCAATCTAAATAAACATCATCAACTCCGATCTTTTGTAGACATTGTTGTGCTCATCCTCTAGAGAAGGGTATGCTGCAACAAGAGCATCCTGAGCTCCAATATATAGTGAGTTATAAATCTTCCAATACACCTCTCTAACTTTTCGGGCAGGGTGGAACAGCCCTTGGAGACAGTAATTAAGAACAACGGCGGCACCCAAAGCTACCCTCATCCCTTCAATGGCTTCCATCACAGCATTTATCACATGTGGAGAAGTTTCAAATATGTTTGGCCAAACATAGTTCAGCAGATGGACCAGCGCATCCTCACAACCCAAACCAGCCACTCCCAGTGCCATGTGCTTCACGGCAGATGCAGCTGTCTGCCTATGAACCAAATCCCTGTCCATAAGAGCATCCTCGAGCAAAGGAGTCACAGCATAGATGTAGTCCTTTCCCATTTCACCAATATACTCAAAGAGGAAGGAGAGAGACTTGAGAACTCCATTTTGCACATTAAGCTCTGGCACACGGTACTCATTCATCAATGCTGGCAAAACTGTGAAGGGGGAACATGTTTCTGCAACTATTGCAATGGCCACAGTAGTGCATACACGATTCTGCCTCTCCTGCACCTTGAGATTATTCAATAGAGTTGCCAAGACATCCTGTGGTCCGATGGCTTTCGCTATATATCCAAAAGTGTTCACCGTAGCTCTACGAATTCCCTTCTTGTGTGCCTTAAGCATCTCAAGAAGCTCAAAACAGATCCTCATCCATTCTCGGGCGGGTACAAACTCAGCCCCACGATCAGCAATCCTACCAACAAGGTCAATACAGTTCTCCTGGACTTTTTCATGTCTGTTCTTCAAAATTGGAGTTAACCTGGGAAGCAAATCTTTAATAGGTGGAGTCATCTTCGTCATTCCAATAACATTGACAATTGACTTGAGAGCACCCAAAATTGAACCTAGAACTTCCGGATACTCTTCTCCAAGATACTCATACAAGACAACACCAAGATGACCCATCAGTTGTTCCTCGTGGCACTGCTTCATGACAACGGCAATCCTGGAAATAAGGTCTGCTGCTTGCTGCCTCACCTTCGCACTCTTATTGTTTAACCTCCACTTGATGGTACCACAAATCTGAGGAAGATATGGTTTTACTCTCTGGCCAAGTGAGTTTACAACCGCGCCGAACCCATTAAGCATCACATTAGCATCATCACTTGTCTGTTCTTGGAAGGCATAGAGAATACCATCAATCAAAAGCTCTTCCAACCGTGCATCTATATCAGATGATCCCAAGTTAGTGACCACCTTCTCAATAGTTTCCATGACCATTCGCCTGTAAGGTTCACTCTCATCTTTAAGATCTTCAACAACTCTTCCAACAATATCTGCAACACCGACCTTGTTCGCTATCTCAACCGTCGTCTCCACAAGTTGCTTGTAGTTTCTTCTATCCAAAGCCATCCTCCTAACCCAGAAGTTTCTGAAAAACTCGGGGAGGATATCAGTTCTAATATACTCAGCTTCCACACCCTCGGTGCTCACACACTGCTTCACCACTTTCAAAACAATTTTCTTCATTTCTTCATCGGGTGACTGGAACTCCCGAATCAGAATAAGCATGACTTCCTTAGTATAATAGCTGGCATATAAGGCTTCCATCAGCGGGATGATAAACCCAATTGCTTTCAAAAATGCAGCCAGCACCTTACCACGGTGTTGCCTAATACCCTTCCACAATGGCTTCAACACCGAGTCAAAACTTTCAATACCATAAGGAGCAGATGCCTCAGCAAGAGCGGCAAGAGACAATGCAGTGATTGTCCTCACCTTCTGATTCTCATCACTCAGACCATGCTCTATAATCTCCACAAGAGATCTCAAATGGGGCAACACAGCACAACCAATTAAAATGGCAATCTGCTGCACAATCTTAATCCCAGTGTGCCGAGCTTGCCAAGATTTCTTACTCTGACAAACAGCTTTCAAGAAAGGCAACAAAGCAGGAATACCAAGAGCAGATGCAACAACACTGAAAGCCCTAGCAGTAGTGTTCCTAACATATTCATCAATGTTATCTATGTCAGGCCTCATGGCAGCAATCATAGTGGCCAGCCCAGCAGCTTTACTGAGATTAGATATTATTTCCCTCCCTTCAACACGAGCATAGTAGTCTTCGTCAATCAAAAGGGGCTCAATAACAACAAGAACCTTATGCACATAAGGGCGAACCAATTCATCCAATTTATAAAGAACTCTATCAATTACCTTGACCAAAAGATGCCTCTCCTGGTCCTCCAAAGTAGGCTGCATGAGCAACGGCAGAATTCTGTTAAACAAAGGTCCAGCACCAAATTCACGAGCCTTATCAGTTAACTGCCTCAAAGCCGTTTTCCTCTGTGGTGGCGAGCCGTTCTTCACTTTAAGCAGAAGCTTCATAATCTTCCTCTCTTTCTGCTCATCCGGAGACAATTCCTCTTCATTTTCTTCATTCAACAAAGCCCCAAAATACTGATAATCTTCAGGTTTCATGAAAGGCAAACCACCAGGAGCTTCCTTGGGAACATCAAACTGCTGTCCGCGATTCTCTTCAGGAATCTGATAAAGCGGAGTCCCCATCGGAGTAGGAGTAGCAAGAAGCTTCCTTGCAGGTGTTCTAATGGGCACATAAGACGCTGGAGGATCCAAAACCTTATACCCTTCTTGTGGAAACATAGCATCAAGCTCTTCATCAGTCAACGGACGATTCCTTTCTTCAATATCCCTCTCCCACCTCAACAGATTATACTGCTCAGGCGTAAACGAACCTTGTAAAGCACCAGGAGTAGGAGTAGCCAATTCAACACCACCAACAGGAGTCACACCAGGTGTATAAGAAGCAGCAGGTGTAGCACCAGGTAACGGAGTTGCACTTCCCATAGTAGCAGGCGTTTCATCCCACCTTGATCTTTGTCTCTTAGGAGTCGGAGTAGCCATCCCAGAAAGCTTAGGAGTAGCATCCCAAGCAGTTGCACCAGGTGTAGCACCACCACCAGGAGTAGCATCAGAATCCACCAACCTACCAGGCGTCGGAGTTTCATCCCACCTATTCCTCCTCCCGGGAGTTGCGTCAATAACTCTACCGGGAGTCGGAGTTGCATCCCACCGTCCCGGTGTTGTCAAATCGGGAGCATCCCAATCAGAAGTTTTAGCTTTCTTAACACCACCTTCATCCTGAGATTGATCCCATCTATTCCTCCTCTTCTGCTGTTGCTGTTCAGACTTCTCCGGAGCACCTTTCGCAGCCTCTTCCTCTTCCTTCTTCTTTTTCGAAATCGCCCTCAATGTCTCCTCCTTCTCCCTCTTCAACGCTTCCTCTCTCATAATATCAGCATAAGTCCTCGCAGACGGATCCGGCGTCTTCTCTCCCGCCGCAAAAGCATCATGTCTATCCGGCGAAAGAAGCTGATTCAACCTACGTCTCCGGTACTCATCTTCCCTATCAATAATGCTCTGCGGCTTACGAAAACCGTCACCTCCACCGACACCGTCGTTGTCGGCGGACGGCATGTCGATGAAGTGAGATTTAGGGCCGGTGATTGAAGCTATTCTGCGAGGAGCTTCATTACCGATTGGTTCAAGAATTTCTTCGTCTTCGTTAGCGGGAATTGAAGTGTTGTATGAATCTTTATCGCTTGCGCCGTAAAGATCGGTGTCGAAGTTGAGTGAAGTGAGAGATGCGAGTTGTTGTTCCATCTTCTTGCGTTCATCTTGCGTCTTCTTAATCTCTTCCTCGTTCGACGCCATGGTTATGGTTCAGGTTTGATTTGGAAACCCTAGATATGTGTTTCGAGAAGGGGGGCGAAGATTGATTTCGCGTTTTGTTTTTGTTTCTTCGTTGAAACTGATTTTCACGCTAATGTAAAAGTGAAAGTTAATATGAAAATTAATCGTGCCTAAATAGACCCACTAGTTGAACTTTTGGATAAGGGCCCAGTTCCAATTTTTCAAACAAGAAAGAAGACAAAAGTATTAATATAGATTCTGAATTTCTTACTAAAAAATATGAATTGAAGCATGCTATTGAATTGAATTAAAGTTAAAATAATTAAACTGAACTGAATTATATGATAAATAAATTAAAATTGAAATCGAATCGAAATTGAAAATGAAAAATATTAAAAGTAAGTGTTAAATATTTTTTAAAAATTCAAAAATTTGTTTAACAGTTCGATTCTTTAACAAATAGTTTGGTTTGGAAAAATTGTTTTTTAACGGTTCGGTACGGTTCGAAATTTCTAAATAGTATATCAAGCCAATAATTTTGGTTCGGTTTGGTTATGATTAAATTGAAATGGTTCGATTCAATTCGGGTGAATTTTAACTATAGTTTGGTTCGGTTTTTTCAGAAAATCATACCATGAACAACCATACTTATGCGTCTGAAAAGCACACTATGAAAATTTAAAATTTCCATCAGATTCTGAAGATGTATCTCCGGACATACCTTTATTTGCCAAAACGTTAAAACTGAAGCACACCAAGTATGTTTTACAAAATTTAATCCTGAGATGCATCTCCAGATTATATATATATATATATATATATATATATATATATATATATATATATATATATATATATATATATATATATATATATATATATATATATATATATATATATATATATATATATATATATATATATATATATATATATATATATATATATATATATATATATATATATATATATATATATATATATATATATATATATATATATATATATATATATATATATATATATATATATATATATATATATATCATGAATCACTATCTAAAATTTCCCTTTTGTCGCAGATTATTGATAAGTACAAATTGTAGTTATTTTTATATATAAGTTTTGTTGCACTTATCAATGCTTTTGTTAATATTTTGTGAATAATTCTCGATTTTGTTTGTAAATATGTTTAATTTGCATATATTTGTGTTTTCGTGTACATAGTATATCATTTGATAGTTTTGTATTCATTTTGCAGGTATTTGAACATTGTTGGAGCAAGAGGAACAAAAGCTCTAAGAAGTACATTTAGTCAATAAAAGAATATGACAAAAGAAGAAAAGTCATTGAAGTTGTGTAGAGAAAGCAACAAAAGTTATTGTTCTGGTGTGCCTCGTCAGACGAAGCCTGGGCGAGGAGCTTGTGCTTCTGTCTCGTCGGGCGAGCGTGGAGCGAGAGGAAAATAAGTTTTTTCCAATAGCTTCTGCTTTGGCCTCGTGTTGTGGTCGTCGAGCGAGTTTTAGTTGAGTCGTTGGGCGAAGATTTCCTTCGCTGAGCGAGGGTAGATATTTTTGGTCAGTTGCGTATGTGGAGTAACTTGGGACTTGTATATAAGAGCTGTCATCAGACGACACTTTTATGGCGTCGGGCGACGCGTGTGGACCAGATTTTCTTTATATGTCATTTTCATTTCATTTTGCATGGTTATGGTTTTGGGGGGTGATTTTTGTTCTCCCAACTCCATCAACCTCATATTTTTGATAGATTAGCTTAGAAAACAACATTAGGGTTTTGCTTATGGATGATTGGAGGTGGATTTCTCATCAATCAACGCTAACAAACCGGAAGATTTGTGGTTTATCTCTTCTCCTCTATATGTATTTCTCTTTTGTTTGGTATTGTTTGTATATTTACTCTTAACTCATGTATATTTGTCGTCCATCGGCATTATATAAAGCTTGCTTTACAAATCGTCGTTGATTGTTGTCTTGGATTTTTGCTCTGCGCTCGGGATTTGGGTTGTTATATATATATATATATATATATATATATATATATATATATATATATATATATATATATATATATATATATATATATATATATATATATATATATATATATATATATATATATATATATATATATATATATATATATATATATATATATATATATATATATATATATATATATATATATATATATATATATATATATATATATATTGCTTGAACTCTTATCTAGGATGATAGTCTGTTAGTTTCTGGATTCTAGAGATAGATTTAGAGCTGACATTCACTTGGGTGTCTGTAATTAATGTCTCTGTGTTGGTTATGTCTCTCTGAGAGATTGTCGACGCGATTAGCACGATTGACTTCTTGGTTGTTGAGGTGGTTAAGAGATCGCTACTGAGGTTATACACTCGGTCTCTCAATTTGGGTTAGAAATGACTTAGGTTATGAGTGATACATGGTGACATTGACGAGTATTGTAGATTGATTATAATTGGACGATGGGTTTAAGTTTGTGAAGAGTAGTGTACATTCATACTGAATAAGTTTGTCTTTCCTTTTCCTTTTTATACATTTAATTTTTGTTGATAACTTTTACTTTTCCCATTCAAACCCCAAACTCATTAACGAACAATTTGTCGAACGACGACTCGATAAATAATCTCTGTAGACACGATACGATATAATCAAAATATCACCCGGTAAATTAATAACTTACTTTTTGCTTGCCGCTATACCACCGTAAATGGCGTCGTTTCCGGGGATTGGTGTTTATTGTTTCCCATTACAATTGTTTCTTTGTTTTAGTTTTGTAATTAATGTATATGTTATATAGAAATTATGCATGATCTTGTTTATGTTTACTTGTGAATTTATTTGTTTATGTTTACCACACATGTACATGTTTTCTATACTTGTGAATTTGTTATGCCACTGTCACATTTGCTTGTGTGTTGGTTAGGAATAACCGGGTGGAAGCAACTTGGAAGAACGTTCGTAAATAATAGGCGTCGAGCTTATGACGTAAAACAAGCATATTTTATTGTTTTTCAATGTTTTAGTTTAGATAGTGTGGTGATCTCCGTTTAAACAAATTGAAATTGGACCTGTTTTAAAATTCTCAAATCTTCGCTTTTCAACTTGTTTATTCAATTTCACCTGGTTGTTTAGTTGTGTTAATTCTTTTGTTGTTGTTTAGACTCCAATTTTTATTTGATAGCTTGATATCTCTTTTGGGGATTGATTGTGACTTTGAGAGTCTGTCGGGTGTAGTGACTGCAAGTGCACAGTCTAATCGCGTAGTTTTAAAAGATATCGAACCCACAAGGACCGATGGTCAAACTATTGTTATCTAGGGTCACTGTGTAAAGCTAAGGCTAATTATAAAACTAGGATGTTGGGGTTTGAACGAGAATTAACTATGATCTAATAATTGATAACGGGACACTGATATGTAATTTGTCGACTTCATGGATTCAATAAGTCATTGGCATAGTTTTGAGTATTAAAATACTGTTTCAGTGGAAACTATTAATTTAAAAACCCTTGTCGCACACTTTCGTTCTATCGATTTAGGCCATATTATTAAACTCAAATGATCGCTCTTGTTGTGTCATTTAAAATTTAAAAGTATTTTTTGAAAATAAATAGAGTCCAAATAATTTTAAGGCACTCTCGCTGTATTTAGAATTAATGTTTAATTACCACCATCTGGTTAAAATCTCAAACTCTCACTTTGTTGATTTTATCCTTAGTTTGTCTTTTACTCTCGTAACAAAACAATTTAATATCTAAATTGGAAATCAAAACCAGAAAAGTCTTTTGTAAAATATTTCCGCCAATTAATTACTGAATCCCTTCGGTTTAAGACCTTACATACCGGTATCAGAAAAGTTAGCCGAACATAATTTTATTGTGTAATAAGATAAAATAAAAACATGCATACAATAACATAGTCATGGTAAAATTAAATAAAATATATTTAAAATTGAAACCTAGAATAAAACACTGAAGAATATAGTGCAGTATGATATCCTCCACAAGCCGGCAGGATTAGTCTCAGAACAAAATATCTTGCAGAATTATAAATAAGCCTAAACGAAACTCTAAAAGCTAGAAGGAAACTAATGCTGCAATATTCCTCCAATGTGAAGAATATTTCTTTAATGGTGATGGTTTTCTTTGCATACGGAATTCTAAACGAAATTGGAAAAAATCAAAAACTGTAAAACTGGAATAAAATAAATCAATGTTTAGTATGCAGAAAATAAAATTAATTTGGAGTAGGTGTGCGAGCGTCTAGAGTTTTGGTAATTGTCCTCTTTTTATAGACTCCATATGCTGAGTAAAAATAGGGACAATCCTTGATCTTCGTTCTTCATGCATGGAGAAGAATCAGGAAGACGTGTGTTCATGGAGAGATTTTTGTAACTGGAGATATATGTGACTTGTGACGAGTGGCATGGTCTGCAGCGTGGGGCACACGTATTTTAATCTATGCCGGTTAGGACAAGAAGTGTGCTAAGGGCACACTTTTGGACTTTGTGGCGGGCGGCATGCACCTGTGACGGGTGGCATGACCTTTTGATACAGAATCTCGGCATTTTTGCTGCTAAAGTGCCATTTCTTCTTCATTTCTCGAACATTTTTCTTTCTTTTCTCACGTATGCTTTGCAGAAACTAAATACCTGAAATATGTTGCAAATACTACAAATAGAGACATAATGTGACATAATAAACGAAGAATCAGAAACTTTATCTATGTAAATCGGGTGGAATATGCTATGACTTTTCGTGTTATCAAACTCCCCTAAGCTTGAACCTTTGCTTGTCCTCAAGAAATATAGTCAGTATGAAAATCAATAGAGTACAAGTTAAATGCAAATACATGATGCAATTCGAATCGTAAGAGATTGTGCCAACATTTTCGTGGGAACATAAGCTCAACATCACATAAAAGATACAATAATAACACTAAACACCCTCATTATGTAGACTAATTCC